CGCCCGCGTCTGGCGCTTCTATTTTTGGCCCTCACTACTCAAGGACGTCCGAAATTATGTACGAGTCTGTCAGATTTGCCAGCAATGTAAGGTAGAGCAGCGTCCCCCATACGGGTATATGGGGCGTCGCTCGATAAGCCGCCCGTGGCAAGTTGTGGCGGGCGATATATCCGGACCGCTACCCAGGACAGCACGCGGATATTCGTATCTGCTTGTCTTCGTGGATCTCTTTACGCGTTGGGTGGAGTGCGTGCCGATCCGGAAAGCCAACGCTAATACGATAGCGAAGGAGTTCCACGAGAAGATACTGACGCGTTTCGGCACGCCGGAGACGTTCCTGTCGGACAATGGGACAGAATTCAAAAATCGACACTTCGACGAATACCTCTCAGAGCAGGGTATCCTCCATGAGCTGACGCCCGTTTACTGTCCCAGGGCGAATCCCACAGAGCGATATAATCGTACCCTCAAGACAATGATCAAGTCGTATCTTGAAGGGCGACACAACGAGTGGGACATGAAACTCAATGATTTGGTATTCGCATTAAATACAGCGAGACACAGCACTACGAAAGTGAGCCCAGCGATGTTGAACTACGGGCGGCAGCCAATCCCACCCAGTACGTGGCGCCGCGCTCAAGATGCTCTCGTTAGTGGAAAGGAGGACGAGAGAGAGCGGCAGGGCTGGGCAGATCGCATGGGCGGTCTAACCACGCTACATCAGGAAGCGGCAAACAGATCGGAAATAGAGCAAGGGCGGCAGGCGAGCTTTTTCGATCGGAAGCGCCGCCTCGCTCCCTTTAAAGTTGAAGATTGGGTTTGGCGAGTAAACCGCGTCCTCTCTTCAACCGACAGTGGAGTCACGGCGAAATTGGCGCCGACATTCGCGGGGCCGTATACCGTGAGAGAGAAACTCGGCCCCAATACGTATCACCTGGCGAATCTTCTGGAGGACCTCGTCGGAGTGGTCCATGCCGAAGACTTGAAGCCCTTCTACCAAGGGGGGGAAGATGAAGAGGACCAACATACCCAACCGCCGAAGGGAGGCGAGGCGATGCGCGACACGCGCCAGGTAGATAATCGGTCACCGCTAGACGTAAGCGCGAGTCCAGGTGAAGAACCACCGCCCGAAAGTGAGGGCGAAAACGCATCGGACGAAGACCTGGGAGATCAAAACCCCGTCGGACCGGTTAAGAGGGGGCGAGGCCGTCCGCGGAAAATCCCCGCCCCAACTCTCGAATTACCGTTAGAAAGGCGCCCCCGAGGCCGACCTCGGAAAAGCGTAAAAGTGGTCCGCCGGACGAGCGTGCGAATTAGAGCAAGGCGAGTGGGCGAATCGACTCATTAAATCATCTGAATCTCATCTTTTTTCTTCAGCCCGATGGGCTCCCTATCCTACCTCTTCATCAAAACCACATAACTCCTTTACAGGATGGAGAGCGCCCTTCACAAGGCCGTGGAATGGCTCGTCGAACACGTGGAGCGTCTACAGCTCGAACCCGAGAAGAGGGCCGTTTTTATCGCGGCCCGTAGGCGTTTTCGCGATGCCCTGCGGCGCGCCTCGTCCATCGAAGACGACAAGAAACGAGCTGCGGAACTGTTGGAAGCCGCGAACCTGCTGGCCGACGCCCTGTGGGCATCCAAATTAGGGCGAGCGCTCCAGCACTTGTTGGTTGGGGCGAAGGCCCGCTTCGCCCTCGGGTTGCAGCGCGCGCGGAAGGAACCGGATCTTCTGGCGTACCTGCGGAAAATAGGGCCGGAGGCAACGATCCACGAGGCCCGTGGGGCCACAGAGGGATTACCCATAAATACCGCGGGGAGGCCCGGGTTATGCCCACCGCCCAAGAACGATCTCCATAAGGAATTGTTCTCGCGGTATATCCCGATGGGGACTTCTAAACCAAGGCCCAGACCCCGCGTCGTGGAGTTAATAGACCTCGTGGACGACGAGGAAGAAGCAGCCACCTCCTCTCCCAGGCCACCCGGGAAAAAGGAGAGACCGCTGGAAACCACCCCTTCCGAACGAGGCCGATCCGTCCCAGAAGGGGAAGCCCCGCAGTTGGAAGCGCCACGGCACGCCGAGCCACCCATGGGCAACGGAAGGAGCGAGCGCGCGGCACCGGAAGGTCCGGATCGCACACCCGATTCCACCCAGAAGGAGGGCGAAACCCCCAGCGTCGTCGGAGACGCAGAGCCGTCATCCGAGATCGGGGAAACCGCCCACGCAGCCCAGCGGAGCCACAGAACGCCAACGCCCGACCGCCCCTTCGACGAAGAGGATTGGCCCACTTCGCCTCTGTCTTGGAGCGAGGCGACGTCGCCGGAGGAACGGTGGCAGGTGATGGAGAGGGGCCTCCGCGAACTGGAGAACGCCTGGAAGTTTATCAGCCACTTACACTCTCGGGTGATGGCGAAACTCCAGGCGTACAACAACCTACCGGGGACCCTACCCTCCGTCGAGACCTGGATGGACCGAGTGTTGAGGTGGCAGGCCTATCGAGACGCCATCGTAAACATCCGGCGAACCCAGAAACTCGCAGGGCAGCCGCCTTGGAGGACGCCCGAACATCCGGCCTCAGCCCCCAAGGCGCCAGGGCGAAGTCGGAACCCTTCGCCCTACAGAATAAGTGTGGATGCGTCCCCGTCGGGCCTTGGGTCCGTCAACATCACCATAAACCTGGAAGGCGGACGATCTGGGGAGCGGGCGAGGGAAGAATCGCGTCCTCGCCCTAACCAAACTCCCCAGGCGCAAGGTCGGGCACATCTAAGGCAGCCCAACCCCAATATCGTCGACCCCTTGGGGGTGCGCGACGGGAAATCTCGGAAGGACGATCAGGGCTGTTACGTCTGCAGGCATCCCGGAGTAGCCAAGTCCAGCCGATGCCCACGAATAGAAGAGCACGGGGCCGCCCGACGAGACAGGAGGAAGAGAAGGAGAACCGGACCCGAAGAGCAAGAAAATAAAACATACGACGGCGGATAAAACCAAAAAAAAAAAGTAATAAATAAGTTGAAACAAGAAAGAGTTAGGTTCAAAGTCTATTTCCCCTGGTCACTTCAATCCCACCTAAAATCCCTGTCCGTCCACCTATCACTCATCATATCATCAGGGCGCTTGGATACGGATCGTCGCCGAAGCCGACCCCGCATCGGACGACTAGGGGGAGGCTGTAACGAGTGTCGCTCGTTAAAGGTGCAACCTAAGCGCCCCTATCGCGTGGAGCTACGTAAAAGCCGGGCCGCGGAAACAAACCCGAGGAGGAGAAACGCCCGCGAGGCGAATGAGCGAAGGAGCGAGAGAGAGGAGAGAGATTAGGGCGCCGACTAGCACGAGTCAGGCACGCGTACCGCGGAACATTTGAAATAATAGGAAGGGGAAAGAGAGCGATCGGGCCGCCGGCCGGCGCGCGCGCGTCAACGAAAGAAGGTATGAGGAATTAGTCAAGTCCGGACCTGCGGACAGCGAGAACGGAAGTGCGAAGTGATTAGACCAGCGAGGTTCGAGAGACAGCCTAGCCGACAGTGTACGAAGATCCGATAGCACAAAGGTCGCCTAGGGAGCATCTCTCAGACAAAGGTCGTTCGCTGCCCACTATCAGTTGCCCAGAGCGATCTGAGGCAATAGTCGAGGGTCGCGGGCAACTGCAGATCCGGGCGGCGAAAGTTCCGACTGAGAGGTCCCCCATCGAGAAGCGACAGGAGCCAACGCGATCTGTATACGTCGCCAGTGTTATTCGACTTTCAGCGACAGGTTCCCGCAACGTAAGTCCCCGACTTCAATTGTAAATGCGTGCGAGCGGGAAGTGCGATTAGATAGTGCGTCTTCTTTCTCTCTCTCTCGCCGCGTGCATGGGACACTCGGCAAAACCTCTCGGCCGCGGTATTACAATTGTAAATTTGAAGTGACGGGCGTGAATAAAAACACCGATTCTTTCGACAATCGACCTGCAGTTATTTCTTTCAAATCCCCTTGGTTGTTCACTCCCGACGCCCACGACAGAACCTGCCCGACCACGAGTCACTGGGCAACCCGGATTTATACACGTGCCTTGCACGTGTAGGTTTTCACGGGCTCTGGGGCGGAACGTCGAAAGATCGACGCCGTCCGAACGAGTCGATCGAGGCGGCGGTCAGCCTCGCGACGCAGGGAACAACCATTCCTTAACGGGTAAGAATTCTGTTCGTTCCCAGAACGAAATACCCCGTTACAATTTATTATTGATAAAGTTTACATTATCAACTCCATCAATCATTGTTTACTTATTGTAATTTTTTTTTAATTACAAATGCTTTTAATTCTTTTTTTAAGGCTTTATACATCCACTAAACAATATCTTTAATTTTGATTTTTTTTATACATGTCAATTTATAATTACCATAATTGTTGTGAGTGTGATTATTTGTAAGATTTAGAATAAGAGAATACTTTTCATACAAATATTTTTGTATCGTGTAATCTGTAATCGTATGGAACTTTAAGATTTTTTTAAATAAAAAATTCCAAAATAAATACAAGGTTGCTACTATACTTGAATTTCGTAAATCCTATTTTATTTGCAGCAAAGTATCAGGTAAATTCGGTCTATCATTTGGCTACGACGCAGCTTGGCAAAGGAGAGGAACTGGACGATCTTATAATAGCTTATCTGGTAAAAAAAAAAAAGGAAACGAAATGTTTATTTTGGTGCAAAATTTTTTTCCACGTCTCCTTTTTAATAAAATGAACAAATTCATATTTTTCTAAATAAAAATAAAACAGTACGTTGGTTGAAAATTAAATAAGGAAGTGTGGGGAAAAAATTGTATTTACACGTACAAATTTATAGTATGCTGAAGAATAGTAATTTTTTTTTTAGCACATGGTGTTTTATTTTGTTTTTATGCCAAAAAAGTCGGCTCATATGCCGTTAGATTAAAAGTTTGTCGTTCGTGTCCTTCTGGTAAACCTATATGACTGTAGGCTTAACTATGATCGTTCGTCAAAAGGGATGGAAGCAGACATGGCTATAGAATTGTTTACAAAGAATCCATTGTTTGAAAAATTATATATTTTTGGCGCTAGATTGATTATGGACAATGATTCAAGCACTATTGCAGGGTTGCGTAAAGTAGCGGAACATAGTATTGAACTGTGGGCCGATAAAAATCATACTATTAAAGCCTTTGCGAGCTCACTTCACGCATTGTCTGTCTCGAAAAATTTAGTAGACTACTTCCAAGATAATTTGAGTGGAGTTATTGCAGAAAGTAAAGGTCAAGTCGATGTTCTGAGGGCTAAAATGAAAGCAATCGTTTCCCATGCATTTGGGGATCATACACTGTGTACTTTTCATGAAAATAATGAAAATTACGAGTATAAGAGACTGCCCGGAAAAAAACCACTTCAAAATGAAGATTTGAGAGTATCTCTGGATGAGCTGATGACTCGCTATATAAACAACGCAGAAAAAATTGCTCCTGCTGGTTCGACGCAAGCAAACGAAACCTTCAACCACTTAGTCACTTCAAAATGCCCAAAGACAAAGCATTTCTCTGGATCGGAGTCGTTCCCTTTTCGAGTTGCTGCAGCAGTTTGTCATAAAAATTTAGGACCTAGCTATATTAATAGAGTATTCCAAATGCTGATAATGAGTCCAGTCAAAACAACCTTGAAATATAGATTAATAAAACAAGCCAAGACTATAAGAAAAAAGTTGTTTGCGAATAGCCGCTTAGGAAAATTACGCAGGAAGGCACTCAAAATTGCTCGATCGTCCAAATCTTCTAACATCAAACGCAAAGAAGGAGTTACATATGAAAGTAATATAGGGTTGAGCGGCATACTGGACATTCCTTGCGATGCTCCTCTGATGACTGGTACTCCATCTGTGCCTAAAACAGTAGCCTCTAGTAATGCTTTGAATGAGATAGGTAATATGAAGATAGTATATATAGACACCGAAACGACTGGTTTTAGTTTAGATCAAGATCAGATTTGTCAGGTTTAATACTATTTTACTGTAACTACACTTCTTTTGTACTTTTATTAAATGCATAACAGAAATTTATTAATATTTAGATTGCCGCTTTTAATGGAGACACATCATATGATGCTCATGTAGTTCCGACAGTGCCAATTAAATCAATGGCAGCATTGAAAACTGGACTTTCCGTTAAAAAGGGAAGTTTATATTGTAGGGGAGAGAAATTGAATTGTGTGTCCAGAGAATCTGCTGTTAAAGGACTACTTGATTATTTAAAAACCTTTAAACTAAATGCTCAAAATCCAAAAATTATTTTAGTTGGGCATAACGTTATAAAGTAATTTATTTTCATTAGTTAGAATTACATATCTCGTGTATTATTTCATTCGTTGTGATAATTTATTTTAGATTTGATGCTGAGAGGATTGAAAAATTACTCACTCAATTTCAACTGTATGACGAATTTTTGAATATAGTTTATGGATATACTGATACAGTTGAAGTATTCAAAAAAAAATTACCAGAAAGGGTAAAACAGAAACTTTCTTTCGCTGAAGAGGCTCTAGTCAAAGAATATTTGCCTCAAGAGAATACTGCTAATTTGCATGACGCTTTACATGATATAAAAACATTAAAACATCTAGTCGATTCTGTTAAAATATCAAATCAAGATATTGTTCAAAATTGTAAGAGCAATAGTCAAATAAAAGAAGCTCAAACAATTTTACAACGAAGAAAAATACAAAAGTTAGCTATAGAAAACAATAAGCAACAATTAAAAGTATTACAAGATGTTGTGAAATCTAATATTATTTATGAAATGGCCAAAGAAGGCATTACTGAAGAAGTACTGAAAACTGCCTATTCCAAAGATAAAAAAGATGGCGTGAAAGTATTGCTATCCATGAGTATAAATGGAAAAGTTAGAGTTACTTTAAATACAAAAATTATTAACGCAATTTCTAACAAAATAAAGGAAATTTGTTCATGAAAAATGTTGTTTGTTGTCTGTATTTCTTGAAAAATGAATGTACAAAATTTATTAATTAATTTTAAAGTATTGAAAATTTTTCAAAACTGTTACTAAAGTCATGAAAAATTTAAATAATTCAAAAAGCGCGCGCTTTACGCTTCTGCGGCAGTACAAACATGGCGTCGTTGCACATACCGGATGTCCGACAAAACATTCAGTTTTGCGTTATATTTTATTAATTCTCTCGATATTTTTCACGGTTACCTCTATTTTCCGATAAACGATTTAAAAGTTCAAGACTTTAGCTACAAGTACGTATATTTTTTATTGGGTAACTACTCGATTACGGTCGGTTAATTATCAATTTTCAACCTCATTCTCACTCCGCTCCATAAGAGCCCATGTTAAAAGTGCAGACTTTGAGCTCGAATATTTCGAAATTTTCCACGGCTTAAGGGATAAAGGAGGATACCGTTGAATTCAGCGCATATTCATCTATCGAAATCACTATAACTAACATCGAATCTTTTCAACACCCCCTCGCTGGAGCCTCCTTAAGCTCAAGGTCATACCTCACAATAAAGTGTTTTTTGTAATGGAAACCCCTATTTTTGACCCCGGATTCGCACATAGCGCGAAATCAGAAAGAAACATTCAAAACGCAGTGAGTGGAAAAAACTTATCCGGCAAAAAAACTGTACCTATGTCTCTCCTTGCTCCTCATTTAAAACAACTTGACTTTCGGTTTGGATAACCCGTTACTTTATTATTCAAACAATCAAAGGTGACCTTGAAATAACCTTAAAATGATCTTGAAGGTCAAAGATAAGGTCACTGTAACATGCTCCCAGTAGAATTTAATAAATTTAGCCCGAAACATTTTGTAAATGTTTCGCGAATAATATTGGATCTAAATTTCACATGACCTTAGCGATGAACGTCGTGGATCAATCGAAACTCAACATAATACCTTATCCAAACGTCGAATTTCGCGCTATGTGCGAATCCGGGGTCAAAAAGAGGGGTTTCCATTACAAAAAACACTTCGACCTTGAAATGACCTTTAAAATGAGGTTAAAGGTCAAAGGTTTTTGGTGCATTGAGTGGCCCACTCTGTTCTGAACAAATTTTGTAGAGGTCATTTTTCGATATCTTAAAAATTAAAAAAACGCTTTTAGGCAGTTTTTCAAGCATTTGACCTTAAATCGACCCCCTTATGTATTAATATAATTATTATACTATTATATTATACTACAAATCTTAATATACACAGTAGCCGATGCAGCCAAAAGGAGAGAGAGAGGGAGCAACAGAGAGTCGCGTTAGAAAAAAAGAGAGAGAGAGCGATATTCCCTAACATATACGTCGCGCTGAGAGCGTTTCGACAGGTCAGGATGCGCGCGATAAGACTGAGGTGAGAAAAGGGACACCACGAGCGGCAATTAGCTGGTGGATTTGAGACCGACAACACGTGTTTCTGCTCGTGCGGATAACTTTAGCTTTTTCTTTATTGTATGCCAGTGCCTTGCACGAACTTAGTTAAGAAATCAGTAGATAGATTACTCTCAGGCGGTGCCTTTTTCTCGCTAGTACAGTGGTGAATGTTTGTCAAGATGATGCTGGGGCGTCCGGACAAATTCAAGAGCCCTACACTCCGCCACCACTGTAACCTGTTCTTTAACTCGCGAGGCGATTTAGTGTAGATACTAGAGCAGCGATATTTACAACGGCATGGCCGAAGATCATGTAAGTAACATCTCGTAAATGGACTTCTCTTTGCTGCACTGTTTACGCATGATGCCTTGTACGCTCTAAATATTTTCTTATGTATAAAGCTGCTGTTATCTGCATTTGTTGCGTCTTTCTCAATTGCTTGAATCTTTTCCCATTTCCCCGCGGTTTCACTGCGCTCGTGTATATATATTTCGCGCTTTCAGCTACGCCAATCTACGACGCTCTACGGAGGCCACAAGGCGAATATATTGTACGAGGCTTGGCTATATACGAGTACATGCCATTGCACTTGCCTTGTGGCGTTCAACTGATAATTTTTTGCCGAACAGTCTACCAAATAAACCTCTCGATTATAACGGCGAAGGATTTATAAAACCCGTTATATTATAACAATATATTAAAAATTATATATTAAATATATATTAAAACAATATACAGGGTGTCCCATTTTAACTTGCCCATTAGGATATCTCAAAACTTGGCATGGTAATCGAAAAATGTTTCAAACGAAAGTTGTATGGTTTGGAGGGGGTCAACTTATGATAACCTCAAACTTGACCTTGAACTTGATTTTCAAGGTTATTTGAAGGTCAACTTTGTTTTTTTAAATGGAAACCCCTATTTTTTATCCCGGATTTTGGATAAAATGGTAAATTTTACGTTCAAATCATGTAATACGTGTAGGATCCAAATGACCCCCACACCAGCCCAAAAGTCATTTCGAGGTCAATCTTACATTTTAAATGGAACTCCTCATTTTTCGTCGCAGGTTTGAATTCTACGTGAAATTGTATGTTCAGATGATGGGATATTTATGGGGTCTGAATGACCCCCCACACCACTCTTAAAGTCATGAATTTAAACCTGTGACGAAATATGAGGGGTCCTATTTAAAAAGTAATATTAACCACGAAATGACTTTGGGGGTGGGGTATGGGTCATTTGGACCCCATACATATTACATGATTTAAGCGTAAAATTTCCCGCTCTATCCGAATTTGGGATTAAAATAGGGGTTCCTATTTGAAAAAACAAAGTTGACCTTAAACTTACCTTGAACATCAAGTTCAAGATCAAGTTTGAGGTTATCATAAGTTGACCCTCTCCGAACCATACTACTTTCGTTTGAAACATTTTTCGATTACCTTGCCAAGTTTTGAGATAGCCTACTGGGCAAGTTAAAATTGGACATCCTGTGTATTAAAAATTAATATACATATATATGTACATATAGAACTTACACATGCACCATCGATGATGATCGGGAGCAAGAAGACGCCGGTAATGATTAAGTAGCGACCGACGCGTACTGTAATAGTATTAATAAATAAATAAATTAATTAATTAAATTCTTTATATTAAAAAGAACGAGAGTGCACGAAGTAATCGTTTATTATGCTGATACTGTTGAAACCGAGGTGTCAAGTAGTTTGAAAAGAATGCGATAGAAAACAAAGAACTAAATAAGAAGTGTACATGAGCGAGAGAAATTAAATTTGAATCAGAGTATATATACTCTTTCTCATACACACACACACCCACGCACGGTTACTTCTTCATGCATTTTCATTCTTTTTTAATATAGAGAATAGAGTTGTGTGACGGAGAATCATGGCTCGACCGTTGCTCTCCGTCGGGCTCTCGCCTTTTCCCCGTGCGCTCTGACGGGCTGGGAGTGTGCATTAGTTGAGCACACTCTCATTGCTTTGTTTCTTTCTCTGTTCTGCTCTTGAGGTGCGACGGCGACAGCAGCGACTTGGGGAGAACGAGAGCCGACACGGAGAGCACCACGAAAGAGAGAGAGAGATAGAGACAGAAGATAACCGCAAGCCGGTGAGGCGTCGGCAGACCTGCGCGCGTATCTCGCTGGCTTGAGGCGGGAACGGGCAGTAATTGCTGAGCTGCGACACGGGCCACCGCGCGCACACGGTTCTCTTTTCCGAGTTTTCTTTGAGTTCCCGCGCCCTCGCCGACGGTTTACGCTTCTGATTTGGAGACACGTGGCCGGTGCGCGAAAAGTGTATTCGAGGAGATCGCTCGTGAAGGCGACCGGATCGGCACCCGGTACACGTGGCAACCGGCGAGGTAACGCGGAAGTGTGCGCGCGTGGCCATTTTGAGAGTGAGTTCCGTCGCCGGCCGGTAGCGTGAGGCGGAGCGCCGACGGACACATACATACGTGCACGGATACACACACACACCAACACGTACACACTTACACGGACGCAGCCACGTACTAACCAACACAGCAGCAATAACAACGATAACAACAGCAGCGGGCGTAACAGTAATAACAGCGACAATAACAGTAGCAAACACAACAGTAATAACAGTGATAACAACAGTAGCAAACACAACAGTAATAACAGGAGCAACAAGTACACGACTAACAACACCGACCGGAGCAGCGAGATTGGCGAGAAAGGATCTACGGAGCAGAAGGAGATTTTCATTAAGCCGCCGTCTTTGTTTCTTCTCTTTCCAGAGTGCCTACTTGTGTTGTGGAATCTGCGGGGACGAGGACGTAGTAGGAGTTCTAAGTCGATCCGGGCAAGGTTGGTGCGGTGTTCTCTTTCTCTCTCTCTCTCTCATCCGAGGCGCCGGGCGAGCACCTCGCAGTTCGGCAGTTCTGCCGACTGCGAGGTCGCGTTTATTGTGTTCGAGCGGCCGTGTTATTGTACCTCGGGTCGTTTTTATTTTCTCTGTAACCTTTTTTTTGTATTTAAATTTTCTTTGATTTATAGTTTCATTTTATCTTATAGTTTTCCTCTTATTTTGTATTTCTTTATTTATTCGCTCTGATTAATTTGTAATTTCTTTTGCCTTTGTATTTTCTTATTTTATAATTCGTTAGCCGATTATCTGAGTTAATTTAAGTTCCTTGGTTGGTTTAATTTTGCGTCGACATTCGCTTATTCTTTTGTTTTATTATAATTCTAATTATTATTAAAGATTACTGTTTCACCAAGTTTCCGCCTCCCTTTCTTTTTTTACCTATACAGTCACTCCTATCCCGAATACAACGGTCCGCGTACGATTAACGCGCGTGCTCGGCGCGTTGTTCAGCCGTGGGAACGGTTTTAGCTTCCCGAATCCCCAATTAAATAATTCGTGCGGGCAGTCGAGAGCTATCCGAAACGGACGACTGAGATTCCCCGTTACAGTTGTTTAAAGTTTAACTAGATTAATATTCAGAATATAAAAGTGCTCAATGTTATGTCTCACCTCGAAATCGTCCACGCGCCTCTCTCTCTCTCTCTCTCTCTCTCTCGGGACATCCGACAC